CTACTATTGTAACCGTATTAATATTTTGTATCAAGAGAATACAAAAGAAGAAAAGAAACTATAAAAATAAATTAAACGAAAGACCACAATTACCTGTATCTAGACCTACTGAACAGCAACAAACACCCTTTACCAGACTGCCAGCCAGAATACTTAACCAGGAACAAGTTCAAAGTTTAGCCAATGATATAAGAAACAACCAACGCAACAATAGACAATTTCAAGGAATAGGAACTGGATTACCACATTAACTAGACCAAAAAGACCAGACAAATTTAAACGCGTACCAACACCACAACAATCACAAGCAGAACAAACAGATTTTGACAATTGGTTTACTGATGCTTCATATAACCAAACCTTCATTTAAATGCAATTGAATAAGAAACATACTATTATCATCACAACTTTATCAATTATCTTTACTATTATACTTACTATAATTCTTCTACGAGAACCACTTCAGACACAAATAACTATAACTGAAATTATACTTATAATTACAGTTATAACAGAATTAGGATTAGTAGCATATACCACTCTACAACCTATTACTGTTAATAACAACAACTGAAACTCCAATTATTATCTGCAACAATACTATACTCCAACCACCAGCATCAACATTACTGTTAATATTAATATTCACTATATTCTTGTGGATATTAACCATAATTACTATTTGCTGTATTCAACAACGAAGTAAGAAACGCTTATACAAAAAAACCCAAACTTAGCCTACTATCAACAGGAATCTACAGGCTGTTGTTAAGAAACTAATGACCACTGCAACACCCATATCTCCACCCGATACTACTACCACAATAATTATTACTGCCACAATTATTGGAACCTTCTTGATAATATCTATTATCATTGCAACTATTATATATCACACTTGCCATAAACAGAAAATCAGAAATCGACAAAAGAAACAAAATAAACAAACACAACTTAGAAATATATACCAACAACCGATACCAATATCCTTACAACAGGACGAAAGTCTATTTGACGGACAATACAATTAATGTTTGTATCTTTTACTGAAAGAAGAAAAGAAACATTAAGAGAAAGCAAGTACATAAACAAAGAAGAAACTTCAATATTATAAATCAACAACAATTAATTAACAACGAATTAGGAAGAAATACTCAAGATATATATTTTCTATTTGGAGACATATCAAAACCTAAATGAAATTATTATTAATATTACTATTGATTTTAATATTAGTAATATTAGTTGCAGGACAACAATTTACATTCATTACACTAAATATACCGATACCAACAGTAACCGAAATAATTACAGAATTTATTACAGCAACACCCGTAATTACAACAATACCTACCACAGTAATTGAAACTGTAACAACAAACATAACCCAAACACCAAATTACTTTAACAACCCAAATATCATAACCCAAAATATTGCAATAGTTATAGCAATTATAACTATCACAGGAGTAATAGCTTACGTAAAATACCAAGCTCATATCCAAAAGAAACTCAATATTGCAGACAAATATACAACAACAATCCAAAGACAAGAAGAAATAATTAATAATACAATAACACCCATAACGAATGTCTAGCAAAGAAACTCAATATAAGGATACAGAAAACCAACCTTATTATTTATACCAAATAGTAGATGAAATACTTGAAGAATTAGAAGAATTAGAAAAGAAACAAAATCAAATCAAGGAACAAGAAACAGAATATAAGTATATAGAATTATCAAAAGAAGAAGAAGTAATTTATTACAAAAGCAAAATAATAATTAATCAAAGAAAAGCAGCAAACAAAACTGTAATTCAAGCATTTATTATCAATTCAATAAGAAGAAACGAGAAACCTGAATACATTGAAACAATTACAAAAGACTATCAACAGAATCTTAAGAAATTAACGAAACTCACGAAAAAATATCGCGTTAAATGCAACAACAACGAGAAAGAATAAATAAGATAACAGACCGAGAACTTAACCACTGGCTAATACAATATCCATTATCAGTAGACAGACTAGAAACTAAAAAAGCATATTACGACTTATTCAAAATATATTTTGGAAGATACTACCCAGAATTTACAACAATAACAGCAAAAGACAAAGGAAAAATAGATAAAACAATTACCAAATTAAACGAATTATACTTTGAAATTGACGAAACAATAAAGAAACCGAATTACCTAATCAACCATGTCTTTGCATACCTAAAATACAGACATATAACAAACCAACTACAAGTATTCAAAAGGGACTAAAATTAGCAGAACTAACACCATTTGATTATATCCAATTTTGTTTATATGCAGAAATTAGACCGCTAATATGGCTGCTGCAATAACAACTCAATTTGT